ACAATAAAAATTCTCACGACGTTTCGACTGCAACACAAGCAATCATCATGTGTGAAAGCCACAGCAAGAAAATTAGAAAAATAAAATTATTGCTGTGGATTTCACACCTGATGATGATTGCTTGTGTTGCAGTCGAAACGTCGTGAGAATTTTTATTGTTTTACGTTTATATTATTTTATTATTTCCCTTCTATGGTATAAGCCTAGAACTTCCTACTGCTGGGAAATAACCTCTCACCCATGTTCTGCCATTAACTCAATGCGTGTGTTTATGGTAGCCGAGTTAATGAAGGCAGTTAAATAAGAGAAGACGAATCACCGACACATTTTATTTTTTAAACCCCAATGCATGACAGCTATGAAAGGTCACACGACCTGGATAAGTAAATTATTAACGAGTTTTGCGGTGGCACTTTGCACGTACAAAAATTTTCATTGAAGAGTTATTGATTACACTGATGGCAACAGACTCACAACATTTTGATGTTGCAATTAACTGCATCATTTTAACGTATTTCCATGCATTTTTTGAAAACTACTTTTTTTCAAGTGCATTGTTAAATCTAATGTAAATATCACGAAAAGCCACGAAACAGGATATAACGTACAAGAGGACGTAACGAATGGAGTCATAGTGGTTGCTGATATACAGTCGAATTAAATTCATAATTCTAAGGGACACAAACTCCCATCAAAATGTTAGAATGGAAAAATTAATGTTGGTTACGTGAAAAACAAGTGCTAGTTAGTTGCTACGTGTCGAATGGTGGTTTTTAACGAGGCACATTTTACGCGGTCTAACTCCCCCCCCAAAAAAACCTTTTATTATGGATAATTGGTCATAAAAGCCTTTATGCTACGTGTTAAAGCAAAACGGGAATTGAATTCCTAGCTCGTATAAGCATAGGGGGTTTCAACGTTATGGATTGGCTACCATCGCCACGTGTAATGCCGTGGGCGGAGCCAATCACGTGCGCGCGTTGCGAGTGGGCGGGGGGGGCGGTGCTTATTCGTTGTGGGAAATACAATCGCAGGGGGGTGGGTCGCCATATTGCGTCGCCATATGCGACGGTTTTTGCCGGTTGGTGTTTCAAATTTTTAAATTTTTAAAAATTATAATAACGTTTTTGTTACCGGATTTTTTTTTAACAACGATTAAATAGTCCCACTTAAGCTTACACGCCGACGCAGACACGTACTTTTAAACTTGTAAAAATTTATTTAAGTACAATCCACGAGCCGCGTTCGATCCACCGCTGGATGAATAGAAAAAAAAAACCCAAAATAACTAAAAAGACATTAACAATAATTAAAATTACATTATTATAGTTCGGGTACTGAAATGGTGGTTAAAAAAAAACACAAAGAGGGTCGTGGAAAATCCCATCGCTTCGTATACGGGGGGCGCTGAACGATATGCAAATGAGGGCGGCCATGTTGGTCAGGGGATAAAGTCGCAGCGGTGAAGAGCACACGTGGTTCAGCGTTGGGTCGCTTCTAAATGTTTTAACAAATAGAGCTTTCGCGACCAATATTAATAATAGAGGGGGGTATTTTTTTTTTGTAAATATAAATGTGTCATATTCTTGGTTCTTTCGGTAAAGTCACGTAGAAGGGAAATAATAAAATAATATAAATATTAATACAAATTATCACGACGTTTCGACTGCAACACAAGCAATCGTCAACCAAGAATATGAATCCCTGCAGTCACGAAAGCTTTAAATCAAAATATAAATGTGTCGTTGCGTGTCGTTGAACGTGACAAATCTTACTAATTGACAGGCGGGTGGTGGCGGGTTTAACGACACATTTTATATTTACGGGGTCTAACCCCCCCAAAAAAACCTCTTACAGTTTTAAATGATTTAAATGCCGGTAGAGCGTGACAGACTTGGCTAAAATATGGGGAAAAAAACGAGTCAATATCCTTAAGGTTGGAAATTACAACCAATTTTAATTGGGTTAAGGTTCAAACTTGATTTGAAGCTTTCGTGACTGCAGCAATTACTCTGGTTCTTTCGGTAAAGTCACGTGGAAAGAAAATAAACTAATATAAAACATTTAATTTATTTTGACTTTACCGAAAGAACCAAAGAGTAGGTTAAGCTTAACATAAAGGGGGGGGGGGGTTATATTGTATGATAGAGATGATGTGGCGAGGTAATGTTAGAAAGAAAATAAATTAAGTAATAGAAAACAATTTTTAATTTATTTTGACTTTACCCAAAGAACCAAAGAGTAGGATAATTGGTTTTTTACCCTTTTATCTGGCAACAAAACTGACACCTTTTTTTTACAAGGAGTCATGTTTACATAGACCACAATACCTGCAGTCATAATGCAAACAAAAAACACAACTCATATTTTTTTTTACTGGCAAATGAGGTTCCAATGGTGGAACCAAAGAGTAGGTTAAGGTTAACATAAAGGTGGGGGGGGGGGTAATACATTGTATGATAGAGGTGCTGTAGCGAGGTTAATGATAAGCACATTGGACTTGCAAAATCCATATGTCGCAAATCGATCCAACTAAAATTGTGTAATTGTGATTGAAATGTGACGATACAAATGACCGCAGAGTCTCGGAAGCTAAGCAGGTATTTAGAGTCGAAGTCTATTCTAAAAATTACTAATAATGAGCTAAGAATGTGTCCCGCGCGTGACGTCACTCCACATGAGGCCCACCTCCCCTCATTAATATTCATGAGTGGGTGACGTCACTCCACATGCCGCACCCCTCCCCTCATGAATATTCATGAGTGGGTGACGTCACTCCACATGCCGCACCCCTCCCCTCATTAATAATAATGAGCGGGTGACGTCACTCCACATGCTGCACCCCTCCCTTGATTAATAATCAAGAGCGGGTGACGTCACTCCACATGCCGCACCCCTCCCCTGATTAATAATCATGAGCGGGTGACGTCACTCCACATGGGGCAGCCCCCCCCCCCCTTCATTACTAATCATGACCTGAACAATTTTTCTATTGAATATTTCAGATTTTCTGAAATTTCAGATTTACTGCAATAGACACCCATCCATGGTCGGGCAAAATAGCAAGTATAAGTTAATGGCTCAGTGGGCTTTACTTGCTAAAATAGAAAATAGTTTAAATGCATTGTACTTTACTCAGAGGATCTAACGTCTTATGCGCCCCTTCCATCAACATTGAGGTCTCCATTAGAAAAAAAAGTGACTCTAAATGGACTCTGGCTATAAGTAAAATTGGTTTGTGTTTCTGCATTAGCTGGTGTCGTGTATTTATGTCACTTATTTAAAATTCATATTTATGTTTTGTTTGGGGTTATATGAACATTCTCTTTAAAGCGCCTTGATATTACTTTTTTTATTCAGACCGATATGAATAAATATTAAAATGATTTTACATGAAATCTAGAATTTTAGTTTTTATTGGATTATTAATATTACTCCCACTTAATTTTTTTAAAGTAGCCATTGATGACTTACTGTAAAATAATGAGGTCAGTTTGTATGGAGTGGTCTGATCAATGACATCTGAGACGCAGTAATATATAAACTTGTGCAGTTTCCTTGATAAAAACAAATGTTTGATAAAAAAAATGGTCTGGAAAGCGAATAGGTTGTGTATTATGTCAAGAAACAAAGCTGATGTAAATGTATATTTTATGTGTTATTAATATAATCTACTTCAAATGTAACAAAATATTTTCAAACTTAACAAATCTAGACTATATTTTATCTGATGACACAGTCTAGATGTGTTACATTTAAAATCCTCTCTCAAATTCCGAATTGCTTGATGTAACCCAAATATAATTTGTCTCGACTTACTGATAATTCATAATGTGGTGTTAAGTAAAGGATATGCTTACAGGATGGTCCAGATGTCTTGCGACCTCCCCATTTAATTATCTAAACCTTTTTTAAAAGTAATATTTATTTAAAACAGAAATTAATAGCATCACAAGACAATCTGGACCACCCTGTACAGGTACTGTACTATTATAGCATACATCTATACTACTCATAAGAGGTGTTTGGGTTCGGTCGCATAAATATAAATGTGTCTTCTTGGTTCTTTCGGTAAAGTCACGTAGAAGGGAAGTAATAAAATAATAAAAATAAAACATAATAAAATTATTCTCACGACGTTTCGGCCACAACGCAAGCAGTCGTCCTCAGGTGAAAACCAGGTCTGTCGAGGCGACAGCGTCTGCTTGCGTTGTGGCCGAAACGTCGTGAGAATTATTTTATTATGTTTTATTTTTATTTTATTACTTCCCTTCTACGTGACTTTACCGAAAGTACCAAGAAGATGAATCCCTGCAGTCACGAAAGCTTTAAATCGAAATATAAATGTGTCGTTAAACCCGCCACAGCTAATTAGTAATGTTTGCCACGTAAACAGAACGTGGCAATTCGTTACCGGTACAGCACACACACACACCCCGGCGTGTTGGAGAGTAAACCCACTACAACATTTACAATCCGAGCGTACGACGTTTCGCCGGCAAATTAACAACAACAACCAGAATATTCTTGGTTCTTTCGGTAAAGTCACGTAGAAAGGAAATAATAAAATAATACAAATAAAACAATAAAATGCTCACGACGTTTCGATTGCAATACAAGCAATCATCATTAGGTGTGGGGGAAAAAACGCCACTTTTTTCCAAAAAAAATATTGCTATGGTTTTCACACCTGATGACGATTGCTTGTGTTGCAATCGAAACGTCGTGAGAATTTAATAGTTTTTATTTTTATTATTTTATTATTTCCCTTCTACGTGACTTTACCGAAAGAACCACGAATATGAATCCCCGCAGTCACGAAAGCTTTAAATCATTTTTTTTTACAACCAGCATCATCAGGCGTCAGCCAAGATTCCCTTTCTGAACCACAGCGTGATGCGCTTCCCCCCCCCCTACCTAAGATGGCCGCGCTGTAACGTGTTGACGTCACCGCGCTGTGACGTGGTGACGTCACCGCGCTGTGACGTCACCACGTGGGCCCGCCCCCCTCCCCTCTCCACAACCACCACGACGTTAAATGAGCAGCGGGGAGGAGGCGGGCGGAGAGAGAGACGCGATCTGCGGACGGAGAGAAAGCGACAACGACGAACGAACGAACGAACAAAAACGCCACAGTGGGGACCAGTCGTGAACGCGTCGTGTAATCATTACTATTGTCGTCGTCGTTATTAGACCGAGAAGGAAGAAAACAAAAAACGAGGAGGAGTGAGTGAGAGAGCGCGGTGACTGAACGTTTGAGGGGCCGACACGAAATCCGCACAAGGTGGAGGCCGAGAGAGAGAGGACGAGGCCGAGAGACGACCGCCAACGATCAACCCGAGCCACCACCAACAACAACAACAACCACCAACAACAACAACAACCAACCACCACCACCATGCTGCGGGCAAGGCGATGATGACGACCGCGGCCAACGGCAGAGGCGCATCGCCCCTGACTGACGTGAGAGCGCGCGCGACGTCGGCTGTTCACGTTGAACGAGATGTCGTGTGTGTAGTGTGTGTGGGGGTGTGTAGGGTGTGTGTGTGGGGTAGTGTGTGGGGGTGTGTGTCGTGTGTGTAGTGTGTGTTGTGTGGGGGTGTGTGTGTGATGTGGTGTGTGGGGGGTGTGTTGTGTGTGTAGTGTGTGGTGGGTGGTGTGTGTGTGGTGTGGGGGGTAGTGTGTGATGTGTGTGTGTGTGGGGGGTGGTGTGTGTGTGGTGTGTGATGTGTGTGGTGTGTGTGGGGTGGTGGTGTGGTTTGTGTTGTGTGTGTGGGAGGGTGTGTGGTGTGGTGTGTGTGTGTGTGGTGGTGTGTGTGGTGGTGTGTGATGGGTGGTGGTGTGGTGTGTGTGGTGTGGGGGTGTGGTGGTGTGGTGTGTGTGAGGGGTAGTGTGTGTGGTGCGTGTGTAGTTGGTGTGTGGTGGTGTGTGTGGTGTAGTTGGTGTGTGTGATGTGTGTGGTGTGTGATGTGTGCGTGGTGTTTCTCCTCGTTTCGGGCACCCAGTGTCCGTTTGTGGTCAATACGGGGATGGTTGGGATTGGGTGGTGGTAGTGGTTGTGTTGGTATTGCATGCAATTCGTAGAATATCGACACGTATATTGTTATGTTGTGTGGATTCGTGTATGGCGTCCAAATGTCGACCTGTGTGCAGCGCGCGTGTGTGTTGTGTGTGTGTTATGAGTGTGTATTTTTAATGTGTGTGTTGTGTGTGTATATGTTGTGAGTGTGTGTATGTGTTGTGTGTGTGTATATTTTGTGTGTGTGTGTGTTATGTGTGTGTGTTATGAGTGTGTGTGTGTTATGTGTGTGTGTGTTATGAGTGTGTGTGTATGTTGTGTGTGTGTGTTATGAGTGTGTGTATGTTGTGTGTGTGTGTTGTGTGTGTGTGTTATGAGTGTGTATATGTTGTGTGTGTGTGTGTGTTATAAGAGTGTGTATGTTGAATGTGTGTATGTGTCTGCGCACACATACACACATTGACCAAACCCGCCACTGGCCGGCGTGGTGAAGTGTGGTCTATTAACCCTCGTGCCTCGCACGGCGTGGGGAGGCTCTCATCCAGCAGTGGATTGGCAGGGCCCTATGATTGTCAGACGTGAACGATGTGTTGTATGTGGGTGCCATTGAGGTACAGTGTGCATACGTGGGTTTGTTTATGTGTGTGTAATGTATTTGGTATGCATTGTAACGCGTGTCTCTGTAATTGTGCTGTGTGTCTGCGGAGAGTATCCGATGTGTGTGTAATGTGTGTACTATGTAGGCATACGCCGTGTGTGTATTGTGCAGTTGTTTGGGTGCAGTATATCCGTGTGTGTATTACGTAGTTAGGAAACGTATTTGGCTATCGATGTGATGCGCAAAATGTTTCTGTGATGTGTGGGTGGCGTGCGTGTACAACCTGAATGGCCGTGAGATGTGCATGCCGAGGTATTTTTAGGTGTGTTCGACTCGTGTGTCTAATATGGTGTGAGTGTACTTGATGGTGTATGTACAGTATCACCTACATGTGTGCACTTTCATAAACAGCCGTGATCTGCTCACTGCTGGATTGGGGATGGGATGGGATGGGGGGCTTGCGATGCCATTGCACGTCTCGCTCCTGCACATTCGCTCATCTTATCGGACATCTGGGAAGAGCTTTATAGCTCCGTGGATTCCTCCAGGAGAATTCATATTTGTGATCGCTCCATCAATATCGTTTGTGGGCATGATCCATATTTTGGCTGTCACTACGGTCCATTGACTGACTGTCAACCCACCTTCCCAAGCCCCCCACTTACTTTTGACAGTGCCTATTAAATTGTATTTGTGCTTTGATCCCACGTGTTTTATCTTAATTTTGTTGTCATTCCCAGCAAAGTAAATATCTCCTCGCTCCTATTTGTGCACTTTTCAGTTTTTTGCGCAGTTTTCTGGGTCCGTATCCCAGAAATGTCGCGGCAGGCAATTGTAAACTTTCCTAATCCTAAGCACAATGTACTTAGTGCTTTGCCGTTAACACATTAAAATCCCAACCCCAAAATAAAGACACTTCCAGCCTGTTCTCGCTAGCCTCTTTATTTCAACGTTATTTATCCTTAAACAATATATGTTCTGTAAACCTTTGCGTTTTCCAGTGGTCTCCCTCCAATTATTTTCTTTTTTTTTCGCGTGAAATAAATGTACGTGACATTGGTTTCTCTCTGCTCTATCTTTAGCTCCATTTTGCAGCCGGCCTTTGTTTACTTCTGAAATCATTTCCTGAAGTTCGTGTGGGTAGGTTATAGTACAGTTGAACTATTCTGGCGTATAATTACAGCACAGTACGTGTGTCTATATAGGTATCTGCGTATTTGTAGGTGTTAGCACGAGGTAAATGTGTGCATGATGTATCATCATGATGTATAATGTCTATGATCTTGCACTCAATGCTTGAGTATGTATACATCACATTCCTATGTGATGAATAAATCCACAACCCTTAAATTGCGGGGAGTCCTCAACTAATCATAGATTGGCCAAGCGTTATACAGGGTGGCCCAAAAGTGAGGACACATGGTTATTATATTTATCTGAACAAATGTTCAATCTGATTTCTATGACTAGTAATGCACGTGTGAATTTTCATGTTGTAAAGATTACAGGTGTAATCTCTGAACGGTCGTCAATTACGTTTTGACGGATATGAGGTGACCCCACATGAAGAATAACAAATATATATTAACAATGATAGTAGATAAATATTAACTTTAGGAAAAAATTAGGAGAAATGAATGCCAGTGTTAAAATAAAGGAAATAACCCAATGGTGCCCTGAATTTTGGGCCGGCCCACATGTATACATTTATTATGTGCTTACTATGAATGTTTGTAGATGTGTGTATGTAATTATGTATTAATATTTTCACAAGATGTGTTGTATATTCGCGTACAATTTAATAATCCGCATGGCTCATTGTGTTGCTATGCATTTAAAATACTGTAACTTGTGAGTATTTGTACACGTGTTTGCATGTATATATTATAACGTGCATATTTGGTGCACATATAACTATTTGTGAATGTATGTTCTATGGGTCTTTCGGCAAAGCCACGTAGATAGAAAAATATCACGTTTCGATCGCTACACAAGCAATCGTCTTCACCTGTGTTGCGATCGAAACGTCATGATATTTTTCTTATTTTTCCATCTACGTGGCTTTACCGTAAGATCCATAGAATATGTATTCCTGCAGTCACGAAAGCTTTAAGTCAAGATGTATTTGTATGCGGCGCTGTATGCGAGTTTCTATGCACCTTTTCAATTCCTTTGTGTGTGTGTGAACGGGTGCATGTGTATTGTGGGTTGAGGCTACTACTGCATGTTTGATCTGAGGTGAACGTCATCAGGGCTATGCGCATGCTTGGCAGCCACACGAACACTGTACCTTCGGAGACACAGGATTATGCTGCGTATGTCATGTATTGTACACGGAGCCTATTGCTTTACACAGTCAAGGTATGTCGTGTGTGTATGTATGTTGTGTAGAAATAGTGGCTTGTTTATACAGGAGGTACTCAACGGCTGCGGCTGTGTGTGTAAATAACAAAGTCAGAAACGGGCTTCTGTTATTATATTAATCATGGGGCTCACTGCATTTTTTTGTTCCGTGGTTTTCCTTTCACTCATTTTCACATCCTTTTTTGTTCACTGTTTGTTCACTGTTTTATTGTGTGTGTGTGTATCCGCAGCGTTCTCTCCACCCCACCACCGCTACTACTCTCGGGGCCCTACATCCGCTCCCCGAATCCAAGGGCAGGTGGACTTGTCGCTTTAATCTCTTCCTCCAACACCACCTCCTCCTCTTCATATCCCATCGCTTCTTCAATCTCGGGCTATGACCGTGGAGGGAAACGCACTGGGAAATGAGCTGAGAGGCATGTCGACAGCCGAAAGCAAGGCTGCTGGGGCGGCTGCGCCGGCGCGTTCCTCGTCCTCCCCGTCTTCGTCGTCCTCACTGACTCGACCGGTGCCCGATGGCGACCTGGGCCGGGGTGCGGACGGCGGCGGTGGCGGCGGCGACGTCGCCGGTGGCGAGAGGAGTGAGCCGAGCCCATCCTTGCCCACTCTCCTGCCGCCGATGAGAGGCCGCGCCTCTTCGGACGCCGTCATGAGGCCCAAGCTCAGGCCCAAGGCCGCCGGCCACGACGCCAACCGGGATTCGTTGACCGGTGGCAGCTCTGCCCTCGCCAGCGGAGGTTTTGGCGCCGGCGGGGGCCGCTTCATCCGGCGGAGCGTGATCTGCGAGAGCACCAACATGACTCTGGCCGCTGAAGACCTGCGCTCCCTTGCCAGCCTGCCCAACGCCTTCGATGTGACGCCGGCGGAGCCACAAGAAGGGGGCGGCGTTTGCGAACTCGGCGGGGAGCTGGCTGCTGGCCCCCACTTCAAGGACGTGTTGGATGCCGAGCTGATGGTGCTCGAAGGCAGGACTCCTCTGCTTCAGGCTGTGTGCATCCAGATTCAACAGCCACAGCAGCAGCAGCAGCAAAGTCAACCGCAGCAACTGGAGGAGGTTGGCTCGGTGGACGTGAACAAGGAAAAGCTGAGCGAAGGCGCCGCTGCTGCTGCTGCTGCTGTCGAAAAATTGGATGCGGCCACGGACGCCGAGCGGACAGAGAAAGAAGTGGGGCCAACTGCTGTGGCCTCTCCCAGTATCCCTGAGGAAGAGGAGGAGGAGGAAGATGGCATGAAAGCTGTGGCCACCTCGACGGATGGCCGGTTTCTGAAGTTTGACATAGAGTTGGGAAGGGGCTCCTTCAAGACTGTTTACAAAGGGCTGGATACAGAGACAGGAGTTGAAGTAGCTTGGTGTGAGCTCCAGGTAATATCCCCACACCATCCTTTGGTGACATTTTTCCTATTATATTTATTAACTCTTGAGTCCTGAGTGTGCAGCCTTTATGCACACGTTGTGCAAATTGCCATTTATATCTTTAATAGATTTCCCCACTTCATCTTTAGGGCCATTTGAAAGTGGGGGGGTGTGGGGTGGGGGTATGGAAAAAGAGTGCACCAGCCCATTTGAGGCTAAAGTTTCATTCATGGATCGCTGGATGTAAAGATTTCATTGTGACTATAGAAAGGATACGTTTCACTCTTGCGTCGCAATGGATTAACCATCTCGGAAACTTGAGAGCGAGGGTAATGGTTCAGTGTTTTATCATGTGGTTGCTGATACTTTGCCAGTATCTGGCACATTGCATGTGCACACCTATGTGTAATGCATTAAAAAAACGTAAGATCCAAAGTAATATTAAATACGTCTATGCACATCAATGTTTGTCAATGTTTGTGTTGAAAACAGAGGTAAGGATGCGTCTGTTTTGCATTATACTTTGGCATTTAAGTACAAGTTAATAACAGAAGATTAAAGAATTTGCCAAACATTAATGTTTGCTGCTGTTTCCTGTAAATAAGTCTTAAAGCATAATATTTTTCACCTCCATGAATACTTAAGGTGCTTTGTTTGGCCATGCCTTTGGCACATTTGCTAAATTCAAATAATCTTAAGAACGTTTAATAACCACAAACATTTTGCAAAGTATTTCGCAGATCTCTCATAGCAACATTTAAATAACGTGCTTAACGCATTATGCCTACTTACATTTCTCAATGAATGAAGGCACCTCCTTTCCGAAATGGGCAAGGGACAGGCACATTGATGTTAGTCATAACTTCACATTCTCACAGCTCGGGGATATGCGATTGTATCTGCAGACTCGGAGGAAACTTCTCTTGTGAGGCCATTTTATAATCACAATGGGTGGTCTTTCCTGGTAGCCATCCTGAAAGATTAGTGGGGGGGGGGGGGGCAATGGAATGAGACGGAAAGGTTACATTCCTCGCTTAAAGAGGAGCCCACAGATTATGTCATGGTGTGCAAGGATATGCAATTCCTTTACTTAAACACAGACCTGGTCGGTGCCTGAAATTCAAATAGGGGGTAACAAAAAAAATCCCTCCAATTCACACATACCTCCTAAAGGTGACGGCACACCTAGTTGGCTTGGGCAGCTTTTGGGTATGATTAAGCAGGATCTGGGAAAATGTATTCCATTGTATGTATGACGGCTATGGGATGTGACAGGATGCCAATTGTCTGCAATAGCACAGGCAGTATGCCGTTCAATTATGAACAAAATATGGAGCTGCCTCCTGCACTTGACTTCCCAATATGCAAGATTCCATTTGAAAAATCGCACATGTCCGCTCACACCTTTGCAGACATGTCGTCATGTCTGTTGTGTGCAAAAGAGACCTTTTTTGTGTTGTCAGAATGGCATGCATTTCTAAAACCCTAAGATCTGCTAATGTTAATTTCGTGCGGGTTAAGTATACGACTGAGGAGCAAAGTTGAATTGACAATAGCATTTCATCTTTGACAAAGGCTGGTCTACAAGGGCAAGGCGGCACAGTGTGTGCGAAGAAGGTAAACAAAAACCAATCTGAAGGCTCGGGGTCTTAAATATTCCTTGTTTAGCGAGTGATTCTCACGTCGGGTTCGTGTTGACTGATCACATTCTATCATGCCTAAGGGGGGTTGTCATCTGCCGTGAATGATTGCTGAGTAGATAGTATTGGTGATTTTTTTAATTTAGATTCCTGTCCAGATGAACTTGTAAGGCAAGTCTCCCTTCTAAAATGGTGCATCGTCTTGAAAATAATCGGAGACATCATGTTCTTCATTGGTGCAGGAACAAAAAAGATATAAACCAAAATAAATTTATAGCCTCTTGAACTTACAGAGGAATGCGCGTAATTTCCTGGCACTTTGCGAAAAAATTAAAAGCGAGTTACTTTAAAGGGAGCTTTTAAGAATAAATTAGTGCTGGAAAAATACAAGCGCCTATTTAACGGTGGGGGAAAAAAAAACATCTAAAGAGGAGGATCCTTGTGTGCTGCAGTCCGTGGTACAGTAAATCGGCAGCGGCAAGGGGCCGATTTCACCAGGGAGGAAAAAGTGCTAAACCTGGCAGCGATCGGCGATCATGCATTTATATTTGCAGGCGATGCCATGGTAGCCCAGTCGTATTGACGCACTGGAATTTTCTGCCTCAGTTCCTAAGCACACTTCATCTGTTTCAAATGTTTATTCCATCTTGAAAGTGTTGATTATTTAGTTGTTTAGAATATATATATATATTTGGCCAAAATTCTGGTTCTTGATCGAGGGACGAGTTTGTGTTCTGTGTCGGCCCTGCCAGCCTGACCTCAGTTGAAATTTATTTCGCGTGAAAATTTCTGTTATTAGCGTTGTATTTCTGTGAAGGTGAAAGTGTGCAAAGACGAGCTCTGTGGGTGTTCGGTGTACTTGCACCGCCTGCACCTCGCACTGAAAAGAGCGGGTCTAAAATGAATGCGCTATTAAACTCTCTTTTTTGGACAAAGATCTTCATTTCCAAGTGCATGGCGGTTTTGGGCCGTCGGTGCAAGGCCTCTATTGGCTAGCTGTAATAGATGAGATATTGTCGTGAGGAATTCCACGCACGCTGATTTGTGTATGTCCTCTGTTGATAATTCGAATTTCACAGTTGAACCATTTAGCCATGCTGAAAGGCGGTAATTGTCCAGGAATTAGGGTCTGGAATGTTAATGTGTCCGGTTGATGTTTATTAAGCTGGGCCCTACCCACAATGCAAGAGGACTTGTATGGAATGGCGAGGCATTTTTTAAGGCTTGATTTGAATCCAGACTTTAAAGGAAAAAAAAGCCGGTCATTATTTCCAGTCGTAAAGCAGGCTTGGGGAAGTAAGCGAGCTCGCTTAAAACATTTGCATGCATGTGTAGAGATTTATGTTTACACGTTTTGCCACGCGGCGTTGCTTAGTATATCCTTGGATACTCTGAATCAACAATGGTGCTGAAGCTTAAAATAAATGTGTGCCAGGCTTGCTTGATTGGCAGAACGTCTGTTCCTCACGAGCAGTTTGGGCAAAGGATAGCCGGGGACTTTTAGACCCCTGATGGTTTAAGTTGAGTGAATGTGAAATGGGTTTATAATTAGCCCATGCCTGTCAGCCGAGCGGCAGTGACATACGATACAGCGTCGTGCGGTGATGCAGTCACTGCCGAGATGTTGGAGGGCACGGGGAGAATGCTTCGGCTTACACTGTGCTAACTGTTAGAAATGTAGAACATTTTCGCAGCATTCTCCCGGTTAACTCAAAGTGTACCGTTGCCAATTTAACAATGATATGCTCCTTGGGTTATTGAATTGACACCCATTCTGAAAAGGACGTCCATGTGGCTTATGGGTTGATATCTATTTTTCGTAATTCTGTCCCCAAATTTATTTTTCAATTGTTTTTAAAAAATATTTTTAGAATTGAATGTGAGACTGGAAGTGTGAGTGTTCAGAGGCAATTGAAATATTAACCTGTTTGGCATTTCCTGGGTCCATCTTGGAATAGAATGATTGCCTCGTTTGGTGTGTCAACGTCAGTAATAGGGAGACAAAGGTGACCAAGCATGCGTGATGCTGGCCCTCTCGAGCCACTCTTGTACTGTGCTTACGAACAACAATTGCCCCAGCAGTATGCACAGGTGGCTAAAAAAACCCGGAGGAATGTGTCATAAACATGCTCGTTTAGTGTTTTTGTGGTAATTAAGGAAATTGGAATGTCACAAATGTAATGCACGTAATATTGTCATTACCTTGGCATGTTTCACAGAAATAGCTGGGAGTGTTGGGGATTATGCAGCTCGGATGCCTGGCCGTAATTATTGTTACTTGCGTTTGGTCTAAACGCGTAGCTGGTAACTCCGTTGCCAGTTGTGCAGCCTGGTTACTTTAAAATTTAATATTATTTTGCATCTTTTAACAACAACCCAAAAAAAAACCCTTTCAAACAAATATGGAAATGTTCATGCCGTACTGTTAAATTAATGTCAGGTTATTTTCACTACCACATTACCCAAAACCTGACGGCGATGTCATCACGGCGCCTGTGCCAGGCCACTACCATCACCACCACGTGTAAGATGTGATTATGCCAGTTAATACTCGGTTTCATAAAGTAATGAGCACGCTCATAAGAACGGCATTGGAATGTTTGACGCAAGTCCCGTCGGAGTATTTTGCGTTTTGTTTTTGTTCAGCGTGGCATTGTTGGCCCATTTGCAGGAATTTTAATGCGAGTGCATTTGTCCACAAATATGACAAATGCCTTCATATAGTCAAAGCAGTCTCTAAACTTACCATGGAGCAGCATTAAACATTATGCCGTGGCTTAAAACGGCCGACAATCTTCTGCAGTTGTTTTAAAAGGGCAGCTGTAGAGAATAATCAACACGTGGAAAGGTATTTCCTCTGTCCCAGGAAGACTGGTCTCATTCCTTGCTCATATTTAGCACGCAGGCAGGATGTTGAATAATACAGTAAACACATGCCCTTATCAAGTGTCGGCATTCATACGGTTATGGGCACTCCATTGTGCGTGGCTCTTTCGTAGGAATCCACATTGGTTGTATGGCCTAATTGTGCTTTCAAAACATCCGTGGCATGTCCTTGTGCAGCTGCTGCACATTTGTGGGAGATTTCCTTTATGCCTAGAAAATGAAAAATGTACAACGTGACACATCCTGTTTCAGTCGGATGCGGATTACTTCCCGTGCCGTTTGAAACGTGACCATTTTTCTACTTTCTGATGCGTTTCAATAGGCAAAGGACTCTCTTTGTGTCCTTCCACTCCTCCAAGTTAGCCCGTAGTTAAATACGAGTGAGTTGTACAAAGTGTGTGTGTGTGCGCGCAATTTTAATCTTGAGAAATAATTGACAGTACTTTTGTCTAAAGGCCTCCCCATTCCGTCTTGGTCTCATGG